GTGAACATAGCAAGTATGGTTAGCAAGTTTGCAGATAACACCAACATTGGAGGTGTAGTGGACAGCAAAAAACCTCAGAGTACAATGGGATCTTAATCACTGGGCTGAGGAGTGGCAGATATAGTTTAATTTAGATAAATATGAGATGCTGCATTTTGGAAAGGCAAATCAGGACAGGACTTATACATTTAATGGTAAGGTCCTCGGGACTGTCGCTGAACAAAGAGACCTTGGAGTGCAGGTTCATAGTTCCTTGAAAGTGGAGTCGCAGGTAGACAGGATAGTGAAGGCAGCGCTTGATATGTTTGCCTTTATTGGTCAGTGCATCGAGTATAGGAGTTGGGAGGTCAGGTTGCGGCTGTACAGGACATTGGTTCGATCACTTTTGGAATACTGCATGCAATTCTGGTCTCCCCGCTATAGGTAGGATGTTGTGAAACTTGAAAGCGTTCCGAAAAGATTTACAAGGATGTTGCCAGGGTTGAAGGGTTTGAGCTATAGGGAGAGGCTTAATAGGCTGGGGCTATTTTCCCTGGAACGTTGGAGGCTGAGGGGTGACCTAATAGATGTTTATAAAATCATGATGGGCATGGATAGCATAAATAGACAAGGTCTTTTCCCCTGGGAGTCCAAAACTAGAGGGCATATGTTTAAGGTGAGAGGGGAAAGATTTAGAAAGGACCTAAGGGGCAACATTTTAAAACAAAGGGTGGTATATGTATGGAATGAGCTGCCAGAGGAAGTGGTGGAGGCTGGTACAATTACAACATTTAAATGGCACCTGGATGGATAAATGAATAGGAAGGGTTTAGAGGGATATGGGCCAAATGCTGGTAAATGGGACTAGATTTATTTAGGATATCTGGTTGGCATGGACGAGTTGCACCAAAGGGTCTGCTTCTGTGCTGTACATCTCTATGACTCTATGATTTGTGAAGTTAGGGGATAAACTTTTGTTAAAAATGAACACAAGGTATAACAAGGGTCTATTCATCTTTCAAGGAGACTTTAAACCAAAGCCATGTCTTCTTTCTCAAGTGGATGTTAAAGATTGTATGATGTTCTTCAAAAAAGAGCAGAACAGTGAACCTCCATGGGCTCTATGTACACTTATCCCACATCACAGATTATCCGTTCATTATCACACTCGCCCTTTTACCATATCCCTTCTCACCATCCAGGGTCTCAAAGAATCCTCCATGGTGAAACAGTTATTTTCCTGTACACCTTTCAATTCAGTATACTGTTTTTGTTATTTACCACGTGGTCTTCTCTACATTGTGGAAATCTTAAAAGTAAGCTGGGTGACTGCTTTTGCAGTAAATAGCCTTTCGATCCAGAAGCATGATCCTACATTTTCAATTGTGTCTGATTTAAATTCTCCACTGTGTTCCGAGTCTTCCCTTTCTGTACTTGATGGCCTGCAGTGTGCTAATGAAGATCTAACCAAGCTTGAGGAATAGCATACCATCTTTTAGCTGGGCACTTTAAATCATTCTGGATTCAACAATTCAGTTCAACAATTGCAGATCTTAAGATATGCTCACATTTTGTTTCCTTTCTCTTTGCTAGTTTAGTTTTTTTTTCCTCTTCTTCCCTTTTATTTGCTTTCCAATGATTCTGTAAATCAGAACTCCTTGAGGTACATCATTTTATTTCCTTACTTAGAGTCATAGAGGTCTACAGCATGGAAGCAAGCCCTTCAGCCCAACTTGCCCACGTCACCCAGTTTTCACAAATAAACTAGTCCCATTTGCCTGCATTTGATCCATATCCCTTCATACTATCCCTTGCTCCATTACTACATTCTGTGACGTCAATCCATGAACCCTTTTGTCATTTACTCTCTCCTGTCTTCCACCCTATTCTTTTTTCCACCTTCTCTCCTTTCAGTTTCTTAAAACTTATTACATTTGTGACTTCTCCCAGTTCTGATGAATATTAATTGAGCTGATATATTAACTGTTTTGCTATCTCCATATATACTACCAGTTCGCATTTTTTATTTTTATTGCTGCCAATAGGACCTTACTGTGTGCAAAATGGTTGCCACTTCTCCTTCATTATAACATTACATTTCTACTTTTAATGTGCTTTTGGACCTCCTAAGGTTGTGAAAGGCACTATATCAATGTAAGATTTATATTTCTATTGCCTAGGATCAGAGAGTTTTACATGTAAAATTAAACTGTATCTTACAAGCATTGCATTGAAATAATTGCACAATACAAGATTCATGGTTCATGCTTTACCTGTTGTCACTTTGATCGATTTTACGAAGTTTTTCCACAAATTCACTAAATTTCATCTCTTCCCTCCTAGACTTTGGCTTGAAATTCTTGAAGTTAACCATTTTCTTTTCATCGTAATATAAGAACTTGTGCGTTTTGGCAACATAAACAGAAAAGTCCCCATCTCCAATATTCTCCTGCAAGTATTCCAGGTCCCACTTCAGTGCTGGGTACACCAGGTTGGTATCTGTCAACACCACCGGCTCCTAGAATGGAAAAAGACCGTCAGCTTAAATATAGATTTCACTGAAGCATATGTGCATATTATACCTTTATTAAACTCTTTACCCAATTCAGCACCATCTCTGCAAAACAGGTTTCCTAAAGAAAAATTTATTGTAACTCGAAGATGTACCAGGATGCTTTATAACGCAAGGTGTTGTTTGTTACAACATGCAACAATGTATTTTCTGAAACACATTACCTTATAATACAGAAATAGCAAGAACTGCAGATGCTGGAGTCAGAGATAACAAAGTATGGACCTGGAGGAACAGGAAAGCTGATGTTTCGGGTCAGGGCGCTTCTTCAGAAATGGGGAGGAGGAACGGGAACTCAGAAATAAATAGAGAGAGGAGGGGGAAGGTAGGTGGGATGGTGATAGGTGAGAGCAGGTAGGTAGTGGTCGGGATTGGTCAGTGAGGTGGGAGGGACAGATAGGTGGAAGAGAAGATGGACAGTTTGTGTCAGGTCAAGGTGGCGGGGATGAGAGGGAAGGTTAGTCAAGGGATGAGGCCTGTGGTGGAACTGGTAAAATCCATGTTTAGGCGTTTCGGCTGTAGGTTCCCGAGGCGGAATATGAGGTGCTGCTCTTTTCTCCCACCTATCCACCACTTCTGAAGAAGGGTCCTGACCTGAAATGTCAGCTTTCCTGTTCCTCTGATGCTGCCTGGCCTGCTGTGTTCCTGCTGCTCCACACTTTATTATCTCTGACTCCAGCATCTGCAGTTCTTGCTATCTCAGTGATTTATACCCTCACTGTGAAGCCTTTGCCAAGCCTGTTGGAGATGTTTGAAATGGTTTGCACCTTTGCAGGTGTGTCTTCTGGAGTTTGGGTGGTTATGGGCTACAGATTTAAGAGCTTAAGATTTAGATTTTACTGCCATGTGCACTCAAGTGCAGAAGTACAGGTGTAGAGTGAAAGGTGTATATAGTCCCCACACATGGTGCCATGTTAGGTACAAAGGTACCTACGTACAAAAAAAACAAAGTTACACAGCAGTAAGAGAAACAGAGATGAGAAGTCACGCATTACTGTCATAGAATAAATAGAAAAATAAAGAAATACGGTTACAGTTAACATTAAAATCTTTCTTAATTTAAACTAGAAAAATAAAGGAATTATGTTGAAAGTTAAATTAAACATTAAGTTAAAAGATTTCCAGCGTGGATGGGACATATTGCACTTTTTCAGGAAAGCTTTAAGAACATCTTCGAAGTGTTTTACCCACCCTTCCAGTAACTGCTTGCCATGATGAAGCTCAGAGTAGACAGCTAGTTTTGCAAGTCTTACGACAGATATATGAGGTATATGGAAGATGCGGTTTGCCCAGCACAGGTGATTGACCATAAACCAGTGCTTTGACACTGGGATGTTGGCCTGATATTCTATCGCTGCTGCCCTGTAAACTATAAGTTTGATATTGGATGAGAGGTTTTTGGCATCACTCTGTTCCTCAGGCAGCTAAATGCTCCGTCTGCACACTCAAGGCAATGTTGAATTTCATTACTGATGTTTGCACTCACTGAGAGGAAGCCCTAAGGTATGGAAACTGATCCACATTATGCAGAGTGCTGTCATGTGTGGTGACAGCAGGCTGGTAGGAGAAACAAAATCAGGAAGTGCTAGATAAACTCAGCAGTCTTTTCCAAAGAGGAGTCATATTGGACTCGAAACACTAAGTTTGTTTAAAGTTTTTGAGAAGATTTGTAGCTTGGGTTGTAGACGAGGTTGTAGACTTTCTCGCCGAGGCGGTAGGTTTGGTTGCAGATGTTTCGTCACTCTGCTGGATAACGTCGTCAGTGCACCTCCGGTGAAGCATCGGTGTTCTGTCCTGCTTATTATCATATGCCTCGTTTTGCTGGGTGATTGGTATTACTTCTGGGTTTGTTTCTCAGTGGTTTATACACTGGGTCTAATTCAATGTGTTTGTTGATGGAGTTCCGGTTGGAAAACCAGGCTTCCAGGAATTCCTGGCATGTCTTTGTTTGGCTTGTGCTATTATGGATGTGTTGTCCCAGTTGAATTCATGTCCTTCGTTGTCCGTGTGTAGTGAGACAAGTGAGAATTCATCGTATCTCTTGGTGGCTAGTTGTTGTTCATGTATCCATATTGTCAATTTTCTTTTGGTTTGGCCTATGGAGTGTTTCTCACAGTCCTTGCATGGTATTTTGTATATTACCGGAACTCCATCAACAGATTGAATTAGACCATATGTGCAAACTAATGAGAAATAAAACCAGAAGTAATACCAACCACCCCAGCAAACCGAGGCATATAAATAACAAGCAGGACAGAACACCAACGCTTCACCGGAGGTGCACTGACAATGTTACCTAGCAGGGTGATGAAACATTTGCAACCAAACCTATCGGTTCGGCAAACATGTCTACAACCTCATTAAGTTTGTTTCTGTCTCTGCGGATGCTGCCATACCCGAGTTGCTCCAGCACTTTCTGTTTTTACCCCAGATCTCTTGCTTCCACGGTATTTCGTTAGCAGACAGAAGATCTTTGTCTTCAGGATATTTTGCTTAAGGGTCATTTTCTCAGATGCCTCTGGACATGGGGTGGAGTGTTACATCATGGAAAGCGATGAAGAACGTTGATGTGATGACACAGCCTTGCATGGCCTCCATGAAGTTACAGAGTCATAGAGTCATACAGCACGGAAACCCTTTGGTCCAATTCATCAACGCTGAATAATTATCCCAAACCAAACTAGTCCCATTTGCCTGCGTTTAGCGCATAACCCTCTAAATCTTTTCTATTCACGTACCTGTCCAATTTCTTTTAAATGTCGTAACTGTACTTGCATCTACCACTTCCTCTGACAGTTCACTCCACATATGAACCATCCTCTGTGTGAAAAGTTGCCCCTCAGATCCCTTTTAAATCTTTCTCCTCTCACCTTAAAATTATGCCCTCTAGTTCTGAACTCACCCATCCAGGGAAAAGACCTTTGCTGTTTACTTTAGCTATACCCCTCATGATTTTATAAACTTGTATTAGGTCACCCCTCAACCTCCTATGTTCTAAGTCCCAGCTTATCCGGTCTCTCCTATTGCCAATGCTTCCAAACATGGAGGCAGTGCCCACTGTCTTCTGGTTAAGAGTATGAGCTGCGGCAGTTGATCACAACAAGATAATCGACTGTGCAGAGCATCACAACTAAACTCAATCCACAGCTCCAAGTGTATATTTGCGAAGTTACAGACTGCGTGGTTGTGGTTGGAGCAGAAAGCTACAATTTAAATGGACAATTAAAGGGAGAAATCGGAACAGGCGACAAAAATTCTGAATGCTTTATACAAAGTTCAAATGGCATTCCAATCATTGTTAGCCTTCGTTAATGCTGAAATAATAGCGGATTAAGCAGTGACATGTTTTCACTCAAAGTATGTGACCAGTTGTTTCTCTCTAATGAAGGGAAGTGCCCATAGTCCTTTATGGACTGTGGCAAATTACCTTGCCTCATTAATAGTAACGTAAAGCTGAACTTCTGAAGATAACATTGTTTCTCTCCACAGAATACTGCTAACCTACAGAGTATTGTCAGTATTTTTGCAGATTTCCAGCATCTGCAATATTTTGCTTTTGTAACCCAAATCAACAATTTGCCTTCTAAATATTCTTCCCACAAAGCCTGCTCACCTTTATGGCTCCAGGTCCTTCTTTTTGCCCTGACCTTTAATGGTCACCACTAGAAATCATATGTATGCCCAGAAACACACAAACCAAAATACGGAGCATGACATTGTTGAAGGACATATAGGAGAAATCAACTTAATCTCCCAACTTCTGTCAATCACACAGCCACATGTGAAATTTGTGATTTCTCTTCCAATATAAATACATTTAATTTTGAAAATGGCAAGGTCCAGGGACCTGCTTTAGTTTTCTTCTAGAAAAGGTGTCCATGTTTATATGTTTAAAAAACAATCATTGGATCTGGGCTTGGTGAAAAGCTGTGGCCATGGTTTTCAAATGTGCATTCTATTTTACCTGTCACACTGTGTATTTAAACACTCAGTTATCATTTTATTTGTTGAATGATAGCTATCAATTGATTTTATTTCAGTAGAAATAAAGAATGCAGCATAAAACATCCTCTTCTCTTCTCTGAATGCTTGAAGCTGTTAGTCTAGAGTTGTCAACTGCAGCCCCGTGTACTCCAGGAGGTATCACCATTCAAACTCCTGCCTCTAAATCTCCAGCCCCAAAACTGGTCAATTAACATATCCAGTCAGCATCAGAGGAGCAGGAGAGCTGACGTTTCAGGTCGGGACCCTTCTTCTTCCCAACCCAAAATGTCAGTTTTCCTGCTCCTTTGATGCTGCCTGGCCTGCTGTGTTCCTCCAGCTCCACACTGTGGTATCTCTGACTCCAGCATCGGCAGTTCTTACTATCTCTGAATTAACATGTCCAGCATTGTGTTGCTCTGCCTTCCCAAACTGATCAGAAAATTAATAGTAACAAAGTATTGGAAGATGCCAGAAATGCAGAAGTTTCTTTTTGGAGGGACTACTCTTTCATTTTCAGGGGCTTCTTTTTCATTCTCACTAACGCATTTATGAAGTGAAGCAGTCACATCCTAACACTATCTTCTGTACTTGTGTTGACTTGAGGTATTTGGAATTAGAAGAATTCATCAATATCCTCAACAATCATCACCCTTCCATTAAATTTAAAACCATAATGCACAAGGAGAGCATTCATTCACTAGAGATACCACAGCATTTAAATTGAAGGCCAACGAAGACAACACAGCTGGCAACAAAAAATATTTTTCAAAATAACTGGCACACTTCTACACACAAAAAGCCATCACTCTAAATACGCCTTCCACAGACTAGTGAGCTAATGACTTTCCATCACGTGTACACAAACTGGAAGATTTTAACCAGGCAATTACTACTCCTTCTACCGCATCTCAGATCTCAATATCAGATTTAAAATGAACAATTACCACTGTGTTCATGAGAAT